GAGTATCTAGTTGGAACTTACCACTGGAAACATGAGAGTATCTAGTTGGAACTTACCACTGGAAACATGAGTGTATTTAGTTGGAACTTACCACTGGAAACATGAGGGTATTTTGTTGAAACTTACCACTGGGAACAGGGGTGTATTCGGTTCCTTCATCAGATACTTCACTACAGAAACTTTCTTCATCAGACAACGATTCCTGCAAGCACACAGTTTAACAGTAAATTCCAAATATAATGTAAATGCCAGAATAAATTATCTTTAAACCACTATAATTAAAAAAAAATCCATTAAATGTGTAACAAAAAACAATGTTAATATAGTTACAGTGACCTCATAAGTTTTTTCACAGTTTGCAATTGGGAATATTTACAGTAGTTATTATGTACATTTTACATACAAGATTTTTGTACAACTATTGTATTATTCTGAATATAAATAGATAAATATTATCTGGAAATGATCATTGCTAGTTCTAAATAGACTTGACTGAATCAATTAACCCACAGACAAATGTAAACCTATATAATAAAAGCCAATCTCTGTTCATAATGCTCCCTTTATCGGTAACACTTGACTCTCCCTTGGTAACATTCAAATTGGCTCACTGGTTTGTCTCAAGCAGAAGTATCAAGTTCAAATCTCAGTCAACTTTTTTTGATTATTAATTCTTCATGTTTAAAGAAAGTTATTAAGATGCTCACCTCCGAAGATGTAGTACAGATAGATAGCTTCTCTGAAGCATCAAAGTACTCTGAAGTTGACAACACAGAGAAATTCTCATATGAAGAAGATTGATGGATTGGTTGTTGAACAAGCTAGGAAAATAGAAATCAAAGTCTGTAAAACAACAACACGGTTTTTTCCAGCATTCCTTTCAAGTTTGTTCAATAAATCAAATGTGCTTATTTCTTTTTATAAGCATGTATTGGTCAAGATTTAACATTTTAAAATATTTAGGTCACTTTAGTTATTAAATGTTTTCTTTATAATGAAAAAAAAGAATGGAAAATTATTTTAAAATAACTTGATAATTATCAATAGCTTATGAACAATGTAAGCTACCTACAAAATGAGAACAAAAGTTAAACTGCTAAATAATATAGCTTATTTAATATACTAGTCTAACTAGGCGTATGCCCCTGAAGAAGAAAGGTCCACCTTTTGATAGCACTTAGGTTAAAGGGTATCGTATTTTCAAGTTAAATTGATTTCTTGAACCTTTGTGTCTTTCTAACATCATGAATGAAAGTCTGCAGTGTTATAAAACAAAAATTAATGATGAATGTAATGTACCGATTCGTTAGTTGTGCACCTTTACTATTATCAATATTTTTGGTTATAATGCCAGTAATGACTCCTAAAGTTAAAATATTTAGGTTAATTTTAAATCAATATACTAAGGTAACAATGCAAAAAATCCTCTCAATATTATATGATAAATAAAATAAAAATAAACATAGTAAATACATTACATATTATCCAACTTCTTTAATGCTAGGTTTATTAACAGGACAAATGGAGTCTAAAACCTTACTAATAACAGAAATAAAAACTAGTTGTTTGCTTAGTATACTTTACAGAGAATATTAAACACTTCTTTAACTTTGATAACTTAAGATGCAATATCATGCAGAAAATAAATTACACCCGTAAAGATGCAAAGTTTCAGAACTACATGTGACTCCACAACTTACCACAACAAATATTGGATGTAAAAACACTGAACATTTATGTTTTCTAACCTCAAAACAGGGGTATGATTTGGTTTTAACACTATATACAACAGGAAATAAACCCTAACAGAGTTAAAACTTTAACTTACGATAGAAAACTTACAGTTGGTTCTTCGCTAAAATCGATCACAGGACTTCCAATGAGAAGTGGAAGAGTTGTCACGTCAGCTTCTACTTGTATACGTTGTAGTCTTGTACGGAGTTCTGTATTCTGCTGTACAGCCTAGTGTGGGTGTATTTTAAAAAAATGGCAGTTAATACATATGGTTCTATGTTCTGCTGAAATGCCTCTTTTAATTTGTTAAGTGATGACATGGTATGATACAAAAAAGGTTGTTTTAAACAGTTCAGTTTATGGCACATCTATTAATGTGATCCGTTTTGACATTCGTTTGAGAAAATATTGCTGAAAGCTGATTTCAAGTTACTGAATAAATAGTTTAAATGACATACTGAATAATGACTAACTCTACAAATACACACCATTAAAGGAAAGAAAAGAATATGGTCATTCTGCACACTTTACTCTTCTTAAATTCTGATAAAAGATGCACAAATGGCTTGTTGTCTGAAGGTTGTACAGAAATCAAGGAACTCTTTCATTGAGTAAGAAATACATAACTGAAACCCCTTTATCATAGAATTATTTTATCAAGCAAGATATACAGAGGAACTGAAACTCTTTTGTCAAAGAATTGTTTTATCAAGAAAGAAATACAAAAGAACTGAAACTCCTTTATCAAAGAATTGTTTCATCAAGTAAGAAATACAAAAGAATTTAAACTGAAATATTAAAAAACAGTTAAACATAGATTTTTGTGTGTCACGTGTTATGTTGAATGCAGCATTGGTTCAGATTAGATGTTCATGATGTCCAAATACAAAGTCTAGAGTTACTTATGAATTTGTAACTTAAATTATGGATATTGACAAGCTATAATATAAAATAAGAACCTCCTATCTTTTCTATTTGCTGAGAAATCACTACATTTAGTGAATCAAACAAAGTGGCCCTACCCATCTCTTTATATTTTTGGAAATACTTGCCGACATATACGTACTTCTGCCTAAGATGTGTGGATAACCAATCGAAAGCTCAGAATGCCCCCCCTTGTGGTTCTATGAGAAAAATATTTATTTGGGAAATCCTTTCTTTTCAGGGTAGAAGAGATAATTGTTTTATACTTCTCTATTTAATATTCTATGCTTTAAGAAAAATAACTGAAATTTAAGAACTTATTTGTAAACAATAATGATGTATATATATAATGTGTTATAACTGAAATGTGAGTATTTTACAAAATACTGATCCATTAGAACACACCCAAGACAGGTGACTTTGTAAAGGCCAGTTATATATATTATTGGATACGGTAACGAGTCCACATACACTGCATCATTCAACTTATGTAATGTTAGTCAGGCATGATTGAAAGGTCAATAAAATAAAAATAATAAATTTCTATATATGTAAAATGTTATGAGATTTAAGCTATTTAGACTAAACATTTGTGGTTTCATGTTATAATTTGTAGTATTGACCAAACCCATACAGAGATACAATAGTTAAAATAACAGATAAAATATAAAGTTTTTTTAAAAAAAAACGTTTGATAATTATCTGGAGGATATTAGGAGGTTATAGAGATTTTGCATATGAAATCTGACAATTTTTTGATGCATTAAAGTATTTTTAATCTTGAAATCTAAATTACTTTACATGTTGGATAGTTAATATTTGAAAATAAAAAATACATGAGCAAATAATTAAGAAATGTTAAAACTTTGTGCACGAATGCCTTTTAATGTTTACTGATAATTTGCAAAATTTGATGAAGAGACGTTCATATTTTAAAAAGTTACAAAATAACTGCTTTATGGTTACTTTCGGGAATACAAGTTGGGTGGAATGCACCCATATTAACCATATCATCACAAGTATCCTTTACTGTGCATGACACTAGGTTTTAGTGTCTTACATTTAAAATTTTATTAAACTACATTTGTTTTATGTTATACTAATTAAAATAGCATAAAATCTTATCTAATAATCCACATTTTAATAGAATATGAGTTTTAAGTTCTACAAGGCAATATTAAAAAAATCCTCAATTTCCACTAGTGTGACCCACGTGACACATTTTCTCTTAGTGTGTCATCATCCCTATTTTATCCACCACCCCTCGAAAAAGTATGAAATTAAACGTAAATTACTCTATAAAATCGTTATTGCTCAAACAAACCATAATTTTTATAGGCTTCAATTTTGTTTGATTACAGAGCTATTGAATACAAAATCAAATCCCTCGTGCCATGCCTACCCATCCTCTCTTTCATAATTCGTTAATAGTTCTCTCTTATGTTTCATTATATATTACCTATAACCAATAGAAAGTCAAGCTTTTCATCTATCAAATGATGTATTGTATAACATTGTGTTGTGAACAGAATATCATAAATTTCACTCACAGTACAAGATTCGTTCCCGTGGGAAAGTTAACGACCAGCTTGGATGAATTTGTAATGGCTCTTGTTGCATAGGTACAAAGCCAGAAAAATTTTGTGAGTTAAGGGAAATTGTCTACTTTTTACCTGTTATTAGTCTATATTCTTTGGTGCATTATTTAATTAAATAAAAATTATTAAATGCATTACTATTAGTATTATAAAAAGTTAGGGTTAACTCTTTTCGAAACCCAACAGCAAGAAAAAAGAAGATTAGTTAAGTATTTCATTTCTTGTTTTTCATGTTTAATCTTTATGTGTGATTATAAAAGTAACTAAAATGTAAAAATAGGGATCCTTTTAGGATTTTTAACATTGGATTTGGTAAAATAAATAATAATAATATTATAATAAAAATGTTTCACGAGGCACACATGTGAGCAGCTCATGAGTAATTAATTCATTAGTACAACGTGAGCTGCACATTCCCTGAGTGATTTACAACTTATAATGGCACAGATAGTAGTTAGACACAGTTCAAAGGGCAATAAAACAATAAAATTAACTTATAAATAGATGTAAACTGTTACGAACTTAGAGCTACTTAGGATAAACAAATGTAGTTTCATGTTACAATTTGAAGTCATTCTAGAAAGAAAAAATAATTTACGTTTATTTAGATTTTTTTTTGGTGGTTATGAGGTTGGGCGAATTGATTGATCCCATTTTTAGATAGGGTGGAGAAAATAACAGATAAACTATTAAGTTTTATTGAAAAATAGACGTTTGAAATGCGTTTAGGAGGTTTTAGGGATTACACAAAGGAAATTTGAGATTTTTGAGATGAGGAAAAGTATTTTTAATTTTAACATGAAAATTATTTTGCACACAGACTATTCAAAACAAATACTCAGAATATTCATGGACAAATCGTTATTTTATTAAAAATACTTCATTCAAAAATATAATTTTTTGTATGTGAAAGACTTATAATATTAACTGAAAGACTTCCAGATTTTGTGAAGATATACACATTATATTGAAAGTTAGAAGTATTAAATGTATAAAGACTTTAAATGAGTACAAAGAAGTCAAGAGGTTGGTCAAATTGACCAAGCCCATGTTGAGAGAGTTAAAATGGTTAAACAGATCAGTACTCCTTGTTTTATGCTATCATACATTTCCACAATTCAGCCAAGTCATTTGGTTGCCATCTGACTTTCTCAGTTTCCATACAAGTCCTTAAAGCCTTAATAATATTCATAGTGGGACTTTGTGCAGGCCAAGTCCTGGATGTAAGAGTTCCATCAGCCTCTTTTCTTTGTCAGAGTATTGTTCTTGAGGGAATGACATTACAGATAAGAAGCTGTTTTTTTTTCTGTCAGCAGTCAGGGTGCCATAAATTTGGTGTAGGTTTCCAGCACTGCTGGTTAACCATTTTAACCTTGTTGGTCCAAAGGATTGAGATTATGCCTGTTAAACTATACATACTAAAACTCTGAATGTACTACATGTATCTTCATAAAATTTGGCAAGATTTTATCAAACATTATGAGTTGTACACAAAGAATCAGTATTTTATACTTAACATTTGTCAGTGAATTTATGAAACTTTTACTGAGCGAAATGTGATTTTCATGCTAAGAATACAAATACTTCTTATCATCTTTCAATTATCACATTTCATTAGCATAATTTCAAGAACTTCCTAACTAAATATAAAAAGTTATTTTCTGTAATATTTTCTTTTCCTTTACAGTACAATGAAATGAGTAATCCAGTTCTTTTCCATTACAGTGAAATGACATAAGTAATCCCATTCTTTTCCTTTACAGTGAAATGAAATGAGTAATCCCATGCTATAATGTCCAGTTATACACAGACTGAACTGGTCTCCAGCATGCTTTAATGTCCAGTTATACACAGACTGTACTGGTCTCCAGCATGCTTTAATGTCCAGTTATACACAGACTGTACTGGTCTCCAGCATGCTTTAATGTCTAGTTATACACAGACTGTACTGGTCTCCAGCATGCTTTAATGTCTAGTTATACACAGACTGTACTGGTCTCCAGCATGCTTTAATGTCCAGTTATACACAGACTGTACTGGTCTCCAGCAGGTTATAATGTCCAGTTATACATAGATTGTACTGGTCTCCAGCATGCTTTAATGTCCAGTTATACACAGACTGTACTGGTCTCCAGCATGCTATAATGTCAAGTTATACACAGACTGCAATATCATTCTTTTCTTTTCCATTGAACAAACTACTGTTCATCGATGCCAAACAATTTGGATTCATTTGAAAGAGGCACCATCCTCCAGCTTTGCTCACCCCACTGTTTGAAGTCTGATGCCCATTCCACCTCTTTGGTTTGATTCTCTCTCCTAGACAGCACTTTTGAACAGCTACACATCCATCAAGGCCACTTCGTGCTACTTTTATCATTTTGGAGGTGACATTCACACACAGCAAAATTTTCATGTTCCATGAAAAGAGCACACCTAATTTACTTTTAAAAAGTTCAGGCTTTCTACCTTGATACTTGTACTGCTAATAGTACAAGTTTCGTGTACCTTCTTTACGGTTTCCACACAGTTCCTGTTGAAACATGAAATTTTGTCTCAATCTATCAAAGGGAGTAACTTTGATTCCTACTCGTTTGCCATGTGTCATTTCTATCCTGAACTCTTCCATGAGTGAACACACTACACTACTGCTGGGAATAGTATGACTGCCTGTACTTTAATAGGCATTATGATAGTGTGGAATACCTGGATGATAGCCAATCCCAGTGCAAGCTATCAAAATATATTCTGGTATATTTCATTTTTGTAGAATAGAATAGAAAGGAAGCAAGCCATAGTACTTACATTTTAAACCCATCTTATTCACTGTTTCCATAATTATTTCTAATACTGTTAATATATTACATGTACAGTGAACTAATACGTTAAACAGAGCAAATTAATTATTCATAAAACAAATATACCACCGATCTCAAGTTAATTCATTTCATTCTGACACATTATTTCTTTATTCATTATCAAAGTAAAAGGAGTATTAGGCTAATGATAGGGAACGAGCTAAATATTTTGTTCTTAAACTCACCTGGGCTAATGAATTTCTCAAGTTCGTTATCAGAGTTCCACTATTACTACAGCTAGGTATTCCTTCAGATTCTAAGAGTTGTTTCATTCTTTCCCGCTCTGTGTGTAGGCTTCTGTTCACAGTTCGAAGTCCATCATGAACTGCAACATAAATGCTTAAGTTATTTTCTACAAGACTGGTGTATTCACTGGAAAAAAATTAAATGCATAACTATTAAAGTGGTTCGAACTAATCTGTAAGTAACACCTGACTTGAAACCATCAATCTCCGTAAAAAATCCTCACCAAAGCCACCATGTAGACTGACAGAAAATTCAAAGCTTTTCTCACCGAACAACTACGACCACAGATGAATAAGGACAATGGATGGTGCCTATAATTTTTTTTTCATTCTATTTTTTTGTTATTTCAATTTATAACTTTGATAGAACTTTTCTTTACTACAGGTAACAGTTTATTATTTCAAAAATACTTTTCTTTCAATGATACGTTTTATATATAAAATAGAGAGAGATAAATACAATCTACTTATATTAATGTTAAAGCTTTAGACAATTATTTATTGTACCAGCAAATTGCCCTAGCACATGATATCATTAGGCCTAGTGTAGTACGTACATGAAAACTGATTTTCAGGTCAATAGTTATGTGGGTTATGCATAATAGCATAGTAATCAGCACTTAAATTTTTCATTTGTATCAATACAAGGTAAAAGGTGGCATTTTATCCACCATCAGGCTTTACAGGGTTAAATAAAAGACAGAGCAATTCTGGTTTCCTGTGGTCATATTTTAAATGTTTTTTTTTAAGGAGACATTTTTATTTCTCTGTCTATTTGAATGTAAGGAAAAGTATGTTGTTTATGAGTCACAGTTTCTGCCAGGTTCACGAACCTTGGATTACTGCAGCTTGCTAATTTGTAACCCAAAGGTTAGATAATACTTCAAAAGCTAATGTTTACTTTTTTTTGTGAATGATAAATTAAAACAAAATTTGTTTTTCAGTATTTAAAGAAACATAAAAAAACAATAATATTAAAACATGAAGTTTCAATTAATATAAATATTATCTAGATTAATCAATTCTAGTATAGAGAAACAACCAATGCTATTCTTGCACCTCTACATTTGTTCTTAAATTTCTTTATAGTTACAAATATGAGCGAGTTGTATTTTTATTTTCAGAATATTTGTTTATAATTAAGCACAAAGCTACACAATAGGCTATCTGTGCTCTGCCCACCATGGGTATCGAAACCCGGATTCTAGCGTTGTAAGTCCCCAGACATACCGCTGTACCGCTGGGGGTATTTTCAGAATGAAATGGTGATTTTTGATAAGCTTTTTGGACATTTAAAGTCTCGATTTTTTTTATACCTGAATCTAATTTTGAAACATATTTAATTTTTTTTATGTATTTTTGTTTTCATTACTGATTTTCTCCAGACATTTTTTCGATCATGCACAGCTGGACAAGCACATCATCACTAAGTTTACTTTAGAAGATCTCTACTTTCCATATTTTAATATCCACAGTTGTTACTTCTGTTTTTCTTTTAAACTGAATTCCTACATACTTTGAGAAAAGCTTTGGCTCTCCATACATTACTGTTATTTAGCTATTCAGGGTCTGGCTATTCACACATTAGTATTTATTTAGCTATTCAGGGTCTGGCTATCCATACATTAGTATGTTATTTAGCTATTCAGGGTCTGGCTATCCATACATTAGTATGTTAGTTAGATATTCAGGGTCTGGCTATCCATACATTAGTATGTTATTTAGCTATTCAGGGTCTGGCTATCCATACATTAGTATGTTATTTAG